TGGGATGGGTGTGTCAGAGGCGGTGCAGTTGGCGCAGGATAGAGCAGGGTTTAGAGCTGTTGTGCATAGGGTCGCTATGAGTCGGAAACGACTCAATGGCACATAACAACAACAACAACATATAGGGATTTGATACTAAAAAGGTCCTATTCATTTATTGTATCCTCTTCTGGTCATAGATTTTTCAGGATGCTTCAAAGACTGTTTATGTTGTGGATTAGTTCTTCTAGAGTCCTTCCAAGCTTTTCTTTAATGAACATTATAGTCCTTGGTTTTACTCCTAGGTCCATGATCCACCTTAAGTTGGTTTTGGTTTTGGTTTATGGAGAGATGTGTGAATCTTGTTGAGTCTTTTGCAGATAGTTTTCCAATTTTGCCAATACATTTTGTTAAAAAGATTGTCATTTCCCCACCCAACTGTCAAAAATCAGTTGACCATAGGAAGATAGGTTGATTTCTGGGTTCTCAATTCTAGTCCATGGATTTTTGTGTCCATCATTGTACCTGTACCATACTGTTTTGACCACCACAGCAGTGTAATAAGATTTGAAATAAGGGTGTAAGTTACCTCCTACCTTGCTTCTATTTTTAAGGATTTCTTTGCTTATTCAGGGCTTCTTTCCATTCCAGATGAAACTGGAGATTGTCTTTTCCTTCTCATTGAAGAATGAGATTGTTATTTGTATTGAGATTGCATTGAACATGTAAATTGCCTGTGGTAGTATGGCCATTTTCACAATATTGTGTCTTCCTCTCAATGAGCAAGAGGTAGTCTTCCATTTCTCAAGGTCTCTTCTTCAGATGAATTGACTTACTTAATTTTCTTTGTTCTCAATTTTTCTTGAAAGCTGGGTGTAAACTATTTGGGCATTTTTTATTCTGTTAACACTCATGTGTAAGCTGAAGCTGATTCTGAAGGCTGGTTGTTATGTGTCGTTGAGTCACCTTCAACTCATAGCGACCCTCTGTACAACAGACCTAAACCCTGCTCTATCCTATGCCAATCTCAGTGTCTCCAAAACACCTACTCCTATTACCCCAGTCACTGAATTAATCCATCTCATGGAGAGTCTTTCTCTCTCCTACGCTGACCATCCACCCTCCCAAGCATGATGTCACTCTACAAGGAGTGGTCTGTCCTTGCAACATGTCCAAAGATTGTCACACAAAGATTCAGAATCCTTGCCTCCAAGGAGCAGACTGGTTTCACCCTCTCCAGGATGAACCTGTTTGTTCTCCTAGCAGTTCATGGTATATTCAATACTCCTCTCCAACACCACAGCTCAAATGCATCAGTTACCTATAACTGAAAGACCATGGACTGTATCAGGTGCACTTTATTCTCCAGATTGACATCGTTGCTCTTCAGTACTTTAGAGAGGTCTCTAACCACAGACTTTCCCATCACAATACATCTTTTAATTTCCTGGCTGCTGGTGCTGAGAGTGTTGATTGTGGAGACAAGCAGAATAAAGCTGTTAACAATCTCAACCTCTTTACCATCCATCATGTTGCTGCCAATTGGCCCAGTGGTGAGAATCGTTATTTTCTTGATACTGAGCTTCCCTTCTATGTTACAGGCTGCAGTTCTGGACCTTCTGCAGCAAGTGCTTCAGATCCTCATTAGTTTCAGCCAGCAGGGTTGTGTCATCGCTATAATGCAGATTGTTGATGAGTCTTTCTTCAATCCTATTGCCCCATTTCTTCTCATAGAGCCCAGCTTCCCAGATAATCTGTTCTGCATATAGATTGAAAAGGTATGGGGATAGTACACATCCTTGGCATATACCCTTTCTAATTTTGAACAATGCAGTGTTTTCTTGCTCCACATAGCGGTTATAAACTGTTTTTGTTGTTTTTGTTTTGTTAGCAATCAAGTGTAAACTGATGGTCACCTTGATTTAGTGAACAATCATCTGCAGGCTGGAACCTTCTAGTTTAAGTTATTTGTTATAGGAAGTTTAAGAAAATATATTCATTTTGCTGTAACACATATTATTAAATATCATAAGTTTGCTGTAAATTTGCCATGAGACATATTATGAAATATATTTGCTGTAAGAAAATTCTATAAGTTTGCTATGATGCAGTTGATGCTTAAGTTTCAAAATAAGAATATTTGTGGAAAACTATACTAACAGTTTATCATGCCTAAACAGGCCTTAGAGGCTACTGACAAAACACAATAGGTATGAACCCTTGATAAAGGAATGTAACTGATAATAACTTGCTTGTAAAACCACTGACCTCAGCATGTGTAAATTCCTGATAAGGAAATTAAACTTGTTATTGCCCATGTTGATAAGAGAACAAAATATGAAAATATAAGGAAAATATGTTAGGAATCTGCTATGTTAAATGTTGGGAATAAGAATAAAAAGTATGTTATGAATCTGCTATGTTATATGTTAGAAATAAGAATAAGAAATATGTTCAGAATCTGCTATATTATGTTAGAAATCAAGTTAAGAATATTTTTGAAAATATACTGAACAGTTTTGTTACGTCCAAACATGCGTCTACTGGCTCTAGGGCCCCACTGACCACAACAGGTGCATACCTATAATAAGGAAATATGACAGGCTATTGCCCATGTTGCCAAGGAAACACAGCTAGTGATGAACATGATTGGTCAAAGCCATATTGTTATTTAACTTATCCCAGCATGCTCCACTTGCCTCACCATACTCTAACGTGGGGAAGCCAACGTACATAAACTCTGGCTGTGCCCAGTACTTCACAATGAGCTGAACACTGAAGACCCAAAGACTCTTTTCAGAATTGAAGACCCAAAAGCTCTTTTTAGAACTGAAGACTCAGAGGCTCTTTTCAGAGATGAAGATCCTGGTCACCAATGATTGCAAGCTGCTGACCAACCAAGGATCTCATCTACACCAATGACCATGAGAGACTTAAAGGAAGAGACAGCTTGGGATTTCAGGGGGTGAGTGTTTCTCACTATCCTAAAAACTATGTCCACTATGAATTTATGAATTGCAATGTAGGTAAACTGAAATTAACTGCTTAATGCTTACTAGAACTGATGACTATGAATTGATGAATCAATGTGTTGTGATGAATTTATGAATTGGAATGCAGATAAATTGAAATTAACTGCTTAATGCTTGCTATGAATTAATGAATCAATACATTGTAATGAATTTGTGAATTGTAATGTTGATAAATTACAATTATTACTATGAATTAGTTAATTAATGAATCAATAAATTGTAATTTACTTTTGTAGTGTGTCGACAAGTAATTAATTAAGGCTTAAGGCTCATGACAGTTAATCAGTTTATGGTGGGCTTAATTTTTATTCAAAAGTTGGTTGGTCTCTGACTAAGTCTCCAGTTTGGGGCTCATGCTTGAAGCAGTTGGATTCTAGAGGGTAGCTTTACTGATTTACATGAAATTCTGGTGTAAAATGTTTGGTCATTCTTGATTTTATTAATAATTTATTGTAAGTTTATTGCTCACCTGGATTTAGTCAACAATTAGCTATTGGCTGGAAGCTTCTTGTTAAAGTCAATTAGTATGGGGTGAGTGGGCTTTTGTTTTTAAAAATTGGTTGGCCCCTGAATAAGTGTTCAGTTTGGAGGCTTATGTTTGAAGCTGTTTGATTCTTGAGGACAGGTTCTCTTCTTAGGTTCTTTTCTATTTCTGAATTTTAAAAATTCTATCATGTAGGGAGCTCTCGTGGCCTAGTGGCAAGAAGCTGCACTGCAATCCCAGAAGTACATGGTTCAAATCCAACAGATACTTTCCTAGAGAAAGAGGGGCAATCTCCTACTATACCAGTTAGATCC